CCCTCCTGACACAAACCAATTCCCAACCCGGCATTGTTCCAACAGTGTTGACACGGTCGAGGGCGATCTTCTGGATTAGAAAAGGGGTGAGATTTAGGAACGTTTGCCACAGTGACTATGGAACTGGACTGCGAATGACACGGAGAGAGAGGGGGGAGCACACTCGGATGTGCTACTCCTCGCTAGGATTCGGATAGGAATCCCACGAGGGAAGAAAACGGGGGGAGAGGAGAGCCAGACAATCACGGTACAGGCAAGGAATGGGTCATGTCATTTTTCTCGACGGTGTTATGTTGTAATAGTCTAAAAATCATGGATTTCTTCTTTGCCCTCGGCGTTGGTCCCTTACGCTTGCTTGTAAGTCGTTTTTGCGGGATGTCGTGATTATCTATATATATACCGTCCTTTTTTATTTTTATCACGTAACTAGAGCCAGTATATTACGACCTCGGAGTATATATGTGCTTCATTACATCATTACATATCATATTAGCTAACTTTTTCGCACGTACCCTTCTCGCGTACTTATCGGTTATTCTTTTGGGTTTTACGTCTATTTGCCCTTGCGCAAACGCTCCTTCCACCCGCCCTTCTCGTACAGCCATATCGCTTCTATAGCAAACACCCTTGCGCTGCGGTGCCCTCTACCCTCCTCGGTTCCCGCCTCCTCGTATAAACTGCGCATGACGGCGCCATCCTCTACATCCGCCCAGATACCTTGAGCGACGGCGGCGTCTGCCCCGCCAAATTCGCCGCGCCCGAGCCGGTACAGAATGCGACCGAGAGTCTGGTATGCGACACACCTCTGGCCCGGAACGGCGCTGCGGCATAGGCGCGCTAGCTCGCGCACCGTGTACCCCGCAGCCTCGGGGGCTTCGCCGTGGTGGTGTAGGCCTTTAGTCACGGGGACGGCGCGCGCGATCCGCGGCGGGAGTAACGAACCCCGGAAGTCGAAGCGCAGCACGGAGACAGGGAGGGAGTCCTGCTGTGGATGGTACGGGCTGTCGTAATCGGCGGGCGAGTTGGGCGTCGGCACGGGCGCCATCCAGGCTAGCTTCGAGGGGTCCGCGGGTAGGCTTGGGAAGTACTTCTCGTGGAGCTTTTGGAGGAAGTCGGGGTCGTGCGGGTCTAGGTCCCCGGGTTGAGGGGGCTGCGGCCAGTGCGGCTTGGTTGGTGTTTGTTCGGGGTCGGCGGGTTCTTCCGAGGAGGGATTCTTTGCAGCGTTGTTGTTAGAAGAGAGTTGTGAGGCGGGTGTCGGTTTTGTCTCTGGAATTGCTTTTGCTTCTTCCTCTTCCTCGTCTGCTACTGAAGCCCATCGTACACGTTTAGAGCCAGTCGTAGTGGTTGATTCTGTCCCGCTCTGTTCTGTCGGTTTCTTATCGGGATTATTGCTATTTGATTGAGCGGATGCATCTTCCATCACTATCTCGGGAGGATCTTGCGTCGGCTTTGCATCTGAGGAGGTATCTTGTGAGGTAGAATTAGGGTTATCGAAAGGTGAGGGCCCATTGGATTCGTCCAAGTTGGCGCGTTTGAGTAGCATTTCGAGTATAGAGGGATCTAGGCCGTTGAATAGTTCTTGTCTGGCCGCCTCTATCTCTTCTGGTGACATCGATGCCAACCTGTCATTATTTTCGCGGTCTATGCTGTGCTGCTCGTTCGACTTGAAATCTTCGCCTGGTCGCGTTGTCTGTTGCGCATCTTGACTCGGTGGGGAAAGAGGTTCTTTCGACCCCGTCGTGAAAACATTCGGCTTGTCTCCTTTTGGCTTGCCTCCTTCTGGCTTTGTGGCCTGTCGCTTTTGCTTGAAGGCTGAGATGCGAGTTCGTTTCTTATGTTCTGGGAACCCAGTCGTAGTCGATTTAACCTGAGGGAAGCTTGGTGCTGTCGGTTCAGTCACTTCCTTCTCCTGAATATCCGTAATCAAGAAGTTCATGGCTGCTGGTGGCGTCCCGTAACGGCTTGGTCAAGGAAATAATAGAAAAGGACTTGAAAGGATATTTGTTTGCGACAAATCTATAGAGGGTTAGAATCATATTTTCAATTGATGCGTTGACGTAACAGCCACTCAGCCCCTCTAAGTTTAGTTCCTGTCCTTGTGGCTGGTACATCTATGTATACATCTACCTCTAACTAGCTGCATGGATAGTGCAGCGCTAGCCGTGATGCCCGACTTGGAAATTCTAGAAATTCCAGGAGGAAGCGCCGACTGTCGCTTAGCAGGCCAATGAGACGTCATCGGCCCGCGTTTCATTACAACTGGTCCGGAACTTGGGCTGAAACTTAAAAAAGGTACGTACTTGTCGGTTATGAATTGAAGCTTTACTTTTGACGGGTATGTACAAGTAATTACTTAAGTTGTCATAAGTGAGTTTAGTTATTAGAGAAAACTTTGCTTGATTGTTTGTCATATTTTATTAGGAAATTCGAAATTCATACATACCTTTTTAAGATAGCACGGCTATTGAAATGACCAACTTATATGAGTAGCACTTATAGGATTAATGATGCATGTAGCAACGTTTAGTTGAACTTAATAATTATGTGAGTCATAAATATACCACGCACGTTAGAAAGATGAGAAGAACTGCGTGTTCATTGAGGAAATTAAAACTTACGCCTTTGCTTTGTACATACTTTAGGTAAACAATGCAGCGCAACCCCCACCTAAGTAGAGTCGTATGTAATAATTATTGTAAAAGGGGCGGAAAAAGAAAATAAGGTAGGTACTTGCCAAGCTTTATTCAATTCTTTCTTTAGGTATGTTATAGAAACCAACAGCCCCGTTTGATAATTTTATAAGCATAAATGACAATTAAAAAATTCTCATGTAACAATATGCAAGTCCTTTATAAAATATGTACAACATTAAAGTATAGTCTAATAATAGGCGTGATGCACGTTTTTGCTAATCCCTGCTCAGCGTGTTTATCTTAATAAAGCAGCATTTTGCATTGTCTATGACCTAATAGGACCTTATAGGCCCTTGGAATTGTCGCGGCTATCTTGCGTTAAGCGTTGTAGTGGGTCCTGTGAGACGTTAAAAACTGAAACATAGGTACGTACCCCGCGGTATCTCTTCAATCCGCAGTTCGGCGGAGAGGACTGGAGGCTCAAGCTGCATGAAATTGAGCAGTTCCCCACCCGCCCTGCCTTTTTTAAGTTTGCCGACTGCTCGGCTCATCCAACCCGGGTCCTACCCATTCAAGGAAAGTACACTTCTGCAGCTGTACCTGACCATCTATCCTTTGAGCTACTTGCTTCAGGTGAGACTTCCCATACTGACGATAGTAGGTGATACTTCCCACTATACTTCCCACTATGCTATCTGTTGTATACCTTGGTAGGTATACATTCAATGACGGAGCATTTGATAATATCGGCCGATGAAACCCCACACTTACCCTAACGAACAATTCCCGTCGGGTACAGTATTCAACCCAGTACCAACAGATAGATACTTATTTACCTAAAGTTGGAAGTAACTGATTTTCCGTATACGATGTATGATTGTACCTCGAACGCCCACCCCAGCCACGCCTGGAACTTTTAGCTTGTCCATATCTAACGTAGGTATATATGTAAGTATCTCAAATGGCTATGCAATCCGATCCTTCCTTTCTAGCTAAGGTTCCAGTGTACCGAAAACCTCTCCCTGGTGGGTTACTTCTTATTTTATGTGTTTACTTGCCTATCAAGAATACATCCTTAAAGGGCCGAACCTAGGGCCACCTCATCAATGTGAACTATCATACGCCCCTCCTTGTTTTTCCCTTTTTTGCCCTTTTCTCGTTGATTCCCTCTAACACATAACACACTACACTACCTAACTTAGGAGGTAATTAGTACATGTTACAATTATCAAGGCCCCATCGTCATCTTTAAGCTTAGGCCAAGTCACCCACCCCCCGTCGGATGACAATTCGCGATCTGATGCCTATGCGCCTAATGTGTTCTTCCCTCCCCCCCCCCCCAATTGTCACGGTTCCCCTTGAATTCCCAGTTGTTCCAATGACACCCCCAGGCTTACCTAGTTCCGATCTTCTAATTCGATTTTTTAATAATAAAATTTCCCACGCAACTTTCATTTCTAGCTAGTTAGCCAGGCCCCGATTTTTCTCGCCTTGTTGGAGAATACATAATTCCCAATTCCAAAAAAATAGTAGCCATCCCCATCCCTCCCGCAATCTTCCAAAAACTCGCAATTCTCCCCCCTTCTCCCCTACTTTTTCTTCACAACAAAGATGATGTCCAAAAGATAATTTCATCTACATCCATCACTTTATCGCGACTTTTCATTCTCTTATTTACGTCATCTTGTGCATCTAAATTTAGTGCACCCTACCCGATAAGTTTCAGGGTCTACTGTCTACATAATCACGACTTTTTTCAAGGACAAAGTTCGGTTCACCGAGCTGCTTGCGCAACCTCTGCGCGATCTTCGTGAAGTTATTCAGACCCGGACTCTAGCTCCTACGGCGCACCGACCACACGATTTTGAGGTCACGTTACTCGATAGTATGTACTCTGGTACAACACACTCCACTAAGACTTTACCACTTACCTTTTTTGAACCAATAGTTAATCTGGTGCAGTCGTTTTCGCGTACCTGCTTTACAACCTTAGCTATAGCTGGACCCACGTGCGTCTATTCGCCTATTCGTCTATTCGTCTATTCAATAGCGGTCATCAACGCTATACCTCATAGCATTGTCGCCAACCCGTAAAGACGTTATTATTGGCCAATGCGCACTTGACTTCGAAAAGGAAGTTTATACAATTGCGAATTTGTTTCCACAACTGAAACTTTAACCATTCGCAAGTACAACTTATCAGATAAATACGGTTCATTTGTTTTGAAAGCCTTTTATTTGGTCGGACTTTTTTATTCACCAAAAACAAATCTGTCCGTGCACTATCCTTAGCTCTAATTCATCATCAAGTAGAGTTTTATCAATATTTGGTGTCTCAGATCGGGAATTTGTCTAGAGATCGCCAGGATGGCTGGGGGTTCTGCCAACGCCCCGGCTCGATTTAGTTCTTCGCCGGAACTGTCTGATCCCCCTTCTATGTTATCAGGACCTGGATCAACAAACGGAGAAAACAGAGCAAAGAATGGAGAACTAGATGAAATTGTGGTGGACCCTACTACTATCAGATATGATGGATCGGGTCAGCCCATGTTAACCAAAGATGGATTACCGAGGAGAAAGCCTGGCCCGAAACCCGGGACGAGGATCAACAAGCGAAATAGTACCAATCCCGAAGAAGGGGAGAAGGTTAAGCGAATACGGAAGCAAAAGGACCCTAACGCACCGACTGTTTCGAGAAGACGTAAGGGAGTATCTCTCGAGGGCGAGGCGAGCGAACCAAGATCTCGCGCTACTAGTGTCAGTGGTGGTGCAAATACCGGAACTGCGGTATCACGACAGACCAAGATCACCGAGATGGCCACGACTCAGACTCGGTTGGAACCGCTTCCTCAAAGGGAAGTAAAACGTGATAGTATGCCCGGATCCATGTCCAGCATTCTGAATAACGACCCCGAACCCCTACAATTCCCTCGTCAATCACAGCAATCACCACAGCAGCAGCATCAACAACTGACACGGCCCAGTGCTCCGTCACGGACGAGTGGTACTAACTACGACCCAATTCGCTCATCGAATTATGACCCCATACGAGAGACTATGGTCACACATACCTATTCCAACCCGATGAGCGGATCTCCTCGTGGACCTACCACCACAAATGCCATCAATCGCGCAAGTGCATCGCCTTCGATCGCTAGTCTTGTTGACCCACCTGTACCGAATATTATTTCGCCTGTTCCATCTCATACTTCTTTTGTTCAGAGCACACAATCCCAACCGCCTTCTCAGTCTCAACCGCGCATTCATAAGGAATCCAGCTCGATGCCGGAGTCTCCTAGTCCTTTCCGCAAAGACTTTATACCTCCGCCCGCACCAAAGCCGCCCACGACTGAGGCCAAGGAGGGTAAAGAGACCAAAGAGGCTAAGAAGCCTGCGTCAACCCTTGCACATGCGATTACCTCCAAAATTGAGATTCGTCCGACGTCTATCACTACGATTGGTGCGGCCGGTACGAAGAAGACGTCACCCAAAAACCACAGCACCACATCGTCGTCACCTCGCATCAATGCCATCAAGGATACGCTCGCCCCCCCTCTCCCAAGCGGGCCTGAGCGTTCCATCCTGGACTTTGGTAAAGCGGAACCCGGATGTGAATTTAATGCTCCATCGATCATCCTCAATGTCCCTCTCAACGGGGAAACAAATAAATACATCAACTTCATGCGAATGGCCGAGGATCAGTATGGTTGGGAAGCCCTTCATCCGCGCCAGGCTGAACTTAAAGCGCGTAAGGCCCGCATTGCCGCCGCATCTGCCGCATTGGCCCAGAATGATTCCAGTCGTGAGGGGGATGAGATGTCAGTTGACGAATCAGAGAATGAGGACTCGAATGTCGAAATGGGCGGCACGAGCGGACCGGACAAGGCCGCCGACGACAAGCCTGCAAAGAAGAAGAGGCATTTCAAAGAAGACGAGTATGATAAGGATGATGATTTTGTTGATGATTCGGAAATGCTCTGGGAGGAGCAAGCGGCGGCCAGTCGGGACGGTTTCTTCGTCTACTCCGGTCCCTTAATACCGGAGGTGGAGAAGCCTGAATCTGGACGGTACGTTCATCACCTATCTGTAGTGGCTCGAGTATACTAATTTGATGCAGTGGCGAGGGTCAACCCAAGCGAGGACGTGGATCACGAGGTGGTCGTGGCGGCACTCGTGCGACAACTACAACCACAGGACGAGGTCGCGGAGGAGGCCCCGGGTCCCGAGGAGGCGCAGTGAGAAAGCCACGAATGACGAAGGCCGACAAAGCTCAGATGGACCGCGAAAAGGCGGAACGTGAGGCGGCCTTTCTAAAATCGACGAACGGCGGATCATATAATGTTCTGCACCCCGGCAGTCCCCAATTTGCAGGCTTGTAAGCGAGGTCTAAGAGGTCTAACTTAGGAGAAATCTGGTATTGAGTAATAGGGGCAATGTAATATGTACACACGCGACATTGATATGATCGCCAAACAGCAGGCATGGTCTTTGAAGGATTCATGCGCAGGGGCGATGCTAAAGCTACGGTTTGTTTTGATACCACGATGTTCTTGACGCGTGTCAGGGGGTTAGGATTCCGGCGTACGCTTAGTGACTTCGGGTGACTAGATTTGCTTCGGCTCTAGAAGTGTATACATCGTTTTAATTGCATGAATCAGTACTGTGGTGATCTAAATATTGGATCATGAGCTTCGTTTTCCGTGTGCCTGTCATCTCGGAATGATGAGTGTTTTGTTTTGGTAAGGGGGCATCCCAAATTCTAGGTTAGTAAGTAACTGACCTTGTTCTTCAGGCCCGTGTTGATTGGTCCGACCTGAATCGGCTCCCCGCCATCTCATTAGTGGATTAGATCCGCCCAGGATGGAAGCCCGAAGCACGCACAAGGTGGACTCCGGCCTCGAGGCGCGTGCAATATGTCTCCTAGCTTATGGAGGGCTAGGTGGCATAAGAAGTGTTTCGCTTGTAAGCCCTATACGTTATCGGCAGTATACGGCTTTCGCCAAGGCCTGCTCGTATTTATAAGACAGAGACGCTCGCCCATCTCTTCCCTCCGGCCCCTTTTCTCCTTTTCCTTCCTTCTTGCCCTATTTTTCTTCATTACCTACCTGGCTTCCTAGCAATAACTTCTACTCAGTTCCTACTCAGGATTATCACTTATTAGGATGGCTTCTTCTCATCCCCTTTCCGCGACATCCTTGTTTTCGCTAAAGGGTTGGGTCGCTGTCGGTTGGTTTTTCACCCCCTTTTTCTAGCTTCCCCTCTTTTACTGATTTTTCCACGCAGTGACGGGCGGGGGAACAGGTGTCGGACTGAGTAAGCCCCTAATTTCAATTTCATTCCCCCTATTCCTTCGTTTAGCTTTCTAGTCGCCTAACGCGTACCTTTCTAGTGATCACTCAGACACTGGCTGCCAATGGAGCCAAAGTCTACATCACCGGGCGCCGTGCAGACGTTCTAGAGACAAGTGCCCGCATCCACGGTTCACCAGAGAGGCTGGGCCCTCTTGGGGGTAGCATCGTTCCTATTGTCATGGACATTACGTCGAAGGATAGCGTTAGGGGCGTCGTTGCTGAGATCACGCAAAAGGAGGGTTTCGTTAACGTGTAATACCTCGCAACTTCAACGGTCGTTACCTCTCTAATTGCTCTCTCAACAGTCTCGTCAACAACGCGGGTATCTGGGCAGGAAGGCCCACCGCGAAAGCGGAAGACGGGCCTGAGGTTTTTAGCGAGGCCATACTGGCCGAAAGTAATGAAGACAACTGGCAGAAATGTACAAGACAGTTCCCTCCCAACCATCATCAGGAATCTTAGTATGATTAACCATTTGATAGCATTTGATGTCAATTGTACCTCACAGTACTTCGTGGCGGCTGCGTTCCTCCCGCTCCTCGCCAAAGCTGCATCCGGTCCGACCGGAAGAGTTGGAAGCGTGATCAATAATAGCTCGGTGGGCGGAATTCTTCGAATGTCAGTACAAATACTCGAGTTACATCGTCAGATGTAAACAAGGGGCTTCTAAACTAACAATGATGATACTTGCCACAGGTCGCAGAACTGCCAGTTCTCATACAATGTAAAACATCATTCTTATATCTGTCCCACCTCTAGGCATAACTAATGAGTGGCAGGTCACTAAAGCCGCGTTCTTACACCTAACGCGCCAGATGGCGTTCGAGTTTAGCCACGAGAAGATCAATGTTCGCGTGAATGGCCTTGCGCTCGGTAAGTACCTGTCTTTCCACTGCCTTTTCAATTTACGATTGAGTTTAATCATACTAATATGACAAGGGTACTTCCCATCGGAGATGACGACGGGCGAGTCCAATGACGAGAACGAGAGCACAGCTTCAAACGAGCGTTTTGCGCTCTTCATGAAAAGCATGGGCGCTGAGAGGGTCAAGCGCATGGGAATGCCGCAGGAGCTTGCGAGCGTAAGTTGACTTATTCTCTTCTGTTATTTATTTGAACATTCCCTTTCGGCTTAGCAGTACATACAGGACACGAGTAATGAGTTAAGGTCACTAATTGATGATCCATTGGTTGATAGGTTATCCTTATGCTTGCTACGAACGACTTTGTCTGGGGTACCGTCTCGATTGTCGATGGCGGCATGGCTCTGACTGTCCCCGGAAATATGTAAAGCTATGGTGGCTTACAGTTACACGTTACTCATTTTCGGAGCATTCTACAGTTATTGCTTTGGTAACTTATCAAATACACAAAAGTATTCATTATGATGTTTCTCATTTCCGAACTCATTAGAATTCGTCTTATTCCCACTATTGCACGAATCTATCTTACAAAGGAAAAGTCGATACCTAGTTTGGCAAGGAGAACCGGTTGGCGTTCCGATACAATATTTGCGTATCAACACGATCCTGTATAGCTAATATAGCTACTAGAGATAATTCTTAGGGGCGAACCCCTTTTTCGGCGATTCATCGCTATCGACTAAGACGCTCTCTTAAAGGCTGTTCACTGCTTTCGCATGATCGTAGACCAGAGTCTGCGCTTCTTCATCGTCTAGGTAGATGGTGAAGCCGTCGTTATGGTTACGACCATAGGAATATCCCGAGAAGCCGTATTGCCAGTACAAGTCAGCCATACCTTCTTCTAGCATAATCTTCTGCCAGCCCCCTTCGACCTCCAACCTCGTCGCGTTTACGGCAGGGATTCCGTTCTGCTCGCGCACCTCGGGCGTCATCCAGCCGTACTCTTCGTGGACCACCGGTTTATCAGCCTTCTTACCCGCGGCTGCGTGATCACGGATCCATTGGTCAGCCCAGGCGACAGTCTTAGTCCACCAGTCGGGGTAAGTGTGGAACACGCCGAAGTCGATGTTGGGCAATGCCAAGTTGGCGTCGAAGTCACCGCCGTCAGAACCATTATAGGCCCAGTCGTCCGACTCCCGGTTAAAGCCACCCTCTCCACCCCATGTTACTAAGTGGTCAGGGTCTAAACTCTTGACGAACGTGCTCATCTCATCGATCCATGAGGTTAGCGTGTCTGCTGTGCAGTTACCACTGACGGGCAGGTTGCGCACGGCGTCGGCACCGCAGCGCGGTTCATTGGCCAGCTCCCAAGCAAGGATAGTCGCGGAGTCTTTATAACGCGTAACAAACTCCTTGGTGTATCGCTTATATGCATCTTTAATTTGAGGTAGCCGGTAGAACTAAAATGTTGTTAGCGTCGTATACATATCTCAACAAGTCCGAAGAGTACTTACATCATCATGGTACTTCCCGCCAAGGTTAATAGTAAAGACGTCCATACCACCGTAGTCGGCCCAGTTATTAGTGAAGGTGACAATGAGTTTGATTCCGACCTTAGTGGCGGCATCGACTACCTTGTCAAACTCGGTGATGTTGACGGTAGAAGTGCCATTGGCCCACCATTGGAAAATAGCATTGGTCGCACCCGCTCCCTCGCCACCATACTGCGGTAGACCTTGGGGATCATAGGTGGCATTCTTGTCATTAAAGCCCCAAGTGCGGAATACTTTTAGGCCGGCATCCTTGGCGGCAGCAAGTCCGAGTTCGACATCAGTTGTGTTCTAAAGCTATGATTAGAGTAAGTCTCTCTGGAAAGGAAGGTAGGTTACGCACGCTATCAAAGGGGAAATAGTACGCGTTACTCCCGGCAAAGTTGAAGTCTTTCCCATCGAGTTGGAACTTGCCTCCTTTAACGGTGACAAAACCCTCGGGAACAGCTCTACCCTTAGTTTTACTTAAGGGGCCTGCGTAGACTCCTCCGCTTGCGAGCAGACCGAGCGACAGAAGACTTGACAAAGTGAGGACCATATTGACAATCGAACCGCTCAGTATAAAAACCACACGTAGTCATTGTGGACGGCCTGATGTTGTCCAGCATAAGGTACTTATGTATTTCGTCAAGGGGCCCCTTTCCCCAATTCGGGTATTTCCGTTTTAGGGAAACGGAGGCCTTTAAACCGCGTTACTACATAGGATCCCGCTAATTGAGCCTCTTGGTAACATTGACAACCCGCGCCGAACCACTTAGAGACGGCCGTTTCTGTGTTATTATACGGGGACCACGGCATTTATTGTTTAACACAGCAGCTCGAAAGTCTGTTTAGAGATTTGGTCTTGGTGTTGGAGACTCGGAAATCAGGTCCGTTTGTGGAGAAGTGAGAACATCGCGGGATTATATGCCCCGAAGCTTTGAACTTATGATTTCATCATATCATAACTCTGGCATTAGCTCATTAGAGATAGAAAGATAATTACTAATACATAATTTTACACTTGGCAACACAGATTTCATTATTTATAGTTATAGATTCTAGAAAGTGGCTATGCAAATATGTAATATGCTCAAAAAAAGGGGCTAGGGTTTCTCTATTATATACTTGAATTGTCTTAATCTATTATGTACCTCTTAATGTATTGCTATGTGAAATGGGAGATTCAATTTCTATATTTGTCAGAACTAGCAACTAATTATTTAAATAAAACCATATTATACACCAGATAGTATATACATGTAGATTTCATACGCACTTTACTTGTCTATACCTTGTGTTCATGCACCAAGGGTATCCCTTTATCGATAAAAGGTAGGAGGATCTGTAGGTCAAGTGGGGCCGATCTTGCATCTCCACTCAACTCCGGGCAATCCGGGTCTCTATATCTTTGCCGTGTTAGTGGAGTAGTTTATCTCCCCGAAACAAAAATAGAAGGGCTTATTATCATCTACCATAATAAGATCTTGTAATTACATTATAGAGCCAACATTCCGTGGTATAAAACCTACTAACTTAGTAGTAGCTTAGAGAAGTTACGTGGCTTACAATTGATCACGATAAGTTCATAAGGTTTACCTAAGTAACTACATATGAGGAACTCTTTATATTCTTTAAAGTCAATTAATGGTATCTTTTTGAGTTACATACAGTGTGATATAATTAACGCTTACATGAATACCTAGGTACTTAATATGACATTTGACCGTCTCATAGTAAAGATATCCTCTATGAAGATTCTATGCTAGGAGACAGCTCTAAGTATCATCTACATGATACAGCTATCAAATGTGATACAAACAAGACTTGGTTTGAGTACCTTAGGTAATACATCCTGTAAAGCTGTGACTGACTTGTCGATTACCTACATGTAGGACGATGGATTATTAGGTAGTACATAGGTACAAGTACATTCATGTAACCTTAGTGCAGTGCATATGTATTTCTTATCGATAATGACGCCACCCCCACAAGAACAGGACAATGCCTCATATGGTAAGTCCCTTATAGAAGTGCCAAGATTTTGTAGTTGATAAGGCAAGCGATAAACTCCGCACTAAGAAAAACTTCCCACCAGCAAAAACTAATTCTTGCTCCATCCAATCAAGACTCGGCCTCATCTGCTTTTTGCTGTAGCCCAAGGCGCCAGGCGTTTCTAACACTGGTACAACTGCTGCGGGCAACCGACTTTTTTAATTTTTTAACCTTAAACTTTTTCTTCCATCTACCAATCTCCATCACCCAATTTTAACGAAATCAATCACTCCAACCTACCTTCGTTTGTCGACTCGATAAATACTACCGGCAGTAAGAAGTACTGAGGATCATTCTACTTGATCTCCTAGTTTAATAGGCATTATGGAGGATTCTTCGTTGAAGGTTGGTTAATCCAACAACCCGACCTGTATCGCCGACAGGATATCGCGTGCTCTTGAAGAATGATAACCGACACCTCAATACATAGGAGCGTCTCCTCAATTCACAGAAGTCCTTCGATGGACTCTTGTCGTTAATACCTGCTAGAATGTATTATGGAGAAGACACGACCGTAAGTCGCACTCCGTAGCAACGCACTTGACTTATTCCCATTACTTATCATTGCGCAGGACCAATGGAAACGGAAGAAGCAGACCAAAGCTGAGGCGGCCGCTGCCCGACGTAATAAGCTCGATCCCGACAGCGCGCTAAACCGAAGTGTCAAGGAAGTTATGGATGAGCAGGCGTTGAAAAAGCGGAAGCGCAATCAGATGCAAGATGGGGATGACGATGAAGACTGGTCTGATATGGAAGGAGTTGAGACTGAGAAGCCTGGTGAGGGCTTAAAGAGGAAAGCGGCACAGGATGCCAAGAAACAGAAGAAGGTGAACGAGGAGCAACCCGAGCTAAGCGAAAAAGAACGGCGGTTGCAAGAGAAGAGAGCTGCGCGAAAGGAACGAAAGGCGGAACGACAACAGCTAAGAGAAGAGGAGGCGGCCTTCCAGAGACAAACTATTAAGGGTGTCAACAAGATCAAGTTAGGGTCTAGAGAAACGAAGACCAGCTCAGCGCCAAATGGTGATATCAAATCCGCCGACGCTAGCACCGAGACTGACGATGAGCAGCCAGAGGCGGAAGAAGAAGAAGTTGATGCCTCGGACGTCAAGCCCCTTGATGTTTCTGGTCTCGCTGACGCTACCCAAGAACAAAACTCGGTCTCTGCCCCCTCGCCCCCTCCATCGGAACCCCAATCCCCCGTCTTCGACACTAACGGTACGCCCGCCGACTCAACCGGCCAAGCTCCAAGTACAACAACGTCCGTATCATCCTCCGCCCCTGCTGAAAAGCCAAAGCATATCAAGATCCCCCCTGATACCACCGCTCTTCGGGCTCGTCTCGCGGCAAGAATACAAGCACTCCGCGATGCGCGAAAAGCCGATGTTGATGGAAAGCCTATACGTACACGTCAGGAGCTGATCGAGGCGCGACGCCAAAAACAAGCGGAACGAAAAGCACACAAGAAAGAGTTACGGCAAAAGGCTAAAGTAGAGGAAGATCTTAAGCGTGAAGAGGCTTTAGCATCTGCTCGCAACTCTCCAGGCAGCATTCTCAGCCCAGCCATCGATCTTGAGAACAATAACTTCTCCTTTGGCCGAATTGGATTTGGTGATGGCTCTCAATTATCCCATGACCTCTCGCACGTTCTCAGTGGCGGCAAGAAGAAGGGCCCATCGGATCCTAAGACAGCCCTTGAAAAGCTAGAGAACCAGAAGAAGCGGCTGCAAGAGATGAACGAAGATAAGCGAAAGGACGTTGAAGACAAGGAGCTTTGGCTTACTGCGAGGAGACGTGCAGAAGGCGAGAAGATCAAGGACGACGAAAAGTTGCTCAAGAAAGCTGTTAAACGTAAGGAGACGACGAAGAAGAAGAGCGAAAAGGAATGGTCAGCGAGGAAAGAGGGTGTCGCCAAGGCAATGAAGGACCGACAAAAGAAGCGAGAGGAGAACATCAGGAAAAGACGTGAGGAGAAACTCGTGGGCAAGAGTGGCAAGAAGAAGGGGGCTAAAAAAGCTAAGAGTAGAGCAGGGTTTGAGGGTTCGTTTATAGGTGGTGGGAAGAAGAAATAAGTTATTACGCGATCGGTCTATGCTTAGATGGGACTTACCGTCTTACCCTTTACTCCCTTTACATAGGGTCTTTTGCATCATGTATATAGTGTGCTTCAGGCAGACCAGCCAGTTGGCGTATCTGGGTTATCCAAACGTTTTCACACCCTGTAGCCTCGATGTCCCTATTGTAAAAGCTATCGAGGACTGCAATCTTGTTTCACTTGACTAGAGGATGCGAGCAAGTGAGAACTCGGATCTATTGACACAAAGAAACACGAACCTAGTTGAGACTGGATCGTTGATTTAGCTAGGGCCCCTTTGTCCTAGATGTCTTGGTGGTCAAGTGACAAATCCGGACGCTGACCTCAAGTTCTAATACTTTCTAACGTCGTGCTTTTAGCCGTATAGAGACACCTACTAACAACTTCTTCAAATTCAAGAGCCAAGCGCGTTTTCCTGAAAGACAAACTGGAGGTCTTTAGAGAAGTAACCACAGGGATATCCGGAGAAATGTATATTATAAAGCGGTTCACATACGGGGGTTCGGCGTAAGTAGTTTCTAATTAGATTTTCTTGATGATTTCATGTAGACGCTCAAAATAGGGGTAGATATACATCAACTTCCAAAACGGTATCAAGGTCGTAGGATATTGACAATATCTTATGGCCGCGCAGGTAACAAACAATAAATATCTCCTCATTTCATAAATCTATGCATTAGGCGGTATTATGTAAAACTTAAGTTTATCGCCACTTCTTGATATCAATATGGTAAATGTGAACGGCTTGGCCCGGCTCAGGAACTAGTTATGACGCCTTATTGTGGTTGCTTTGAACAAGCTGTTGTTCTTTAAAAACATAGCTGAGGAGAGCACATCTTTTTGTAAGGATGGCTGTTCTATACTTAGCTACCTAAGCTAGTTCTTTATGTAGGTACCTAGGCACATAGTATAAGCATGAGCTAGGTACCTAGGTAGTGCTTCCAGAGACATCATCAACTTGAACTAGTAGCTTGAAATACCCGCTATCATTGACAAATCTTCCGTCTTAATCGTAATACTACCAATCACATCCGCAAAACTCACCCTTTAAGCAATACTGGTATTACTATACTCCCAATACGTCAATTCTCTTACATTATTGGCATACTGCTACGATCATCGGAATGGCATATCAAAATTGATAACTGTGATAACTGTTGGAAAATGGTTCAATTACTATTTTCGTTATATATAGAAAAAGAGATCTCGATAGCTTTGAATGTTTATCGTATTGAGACTGTATGAGCACATATTCTGTCAGACTCTCGCGTTCAAGGTTCGGTGCGTTTAAGTACCTGTCGACATCTTGGTGGTGCGCGAATTGTATGTCTTCTATCTATTTTGACATATGCGGAATTGATGACAGGTTCGAGTCATATATAGTCTTTGTTAAAATCGATCAATCGCTGAGTTGATCTCGATATGCGTGATCATTGGCCAATCGCAGTGGATATACCTTTCATTGTCCTTTGTTTTACCTCACCGGAAGGCTTCCGGTGAGTTCTAATCATCTTTACTAGGCTCGCAATTTAACACTTATTTATTTGCCGGTCTAGAATCCGTAGGAATTCTAGAAGGTCTTTGTTGAATCGGTCTAAAGAGTATAACGGTGATGTTATAGCGCTATTGTTGACTCTAGAGGTAAGTCTAGAGCTTCATTGCTATGAGGTTGAATTCGGCCAACTTATGTTTACCTCTACCCTCTTAATTTGAAATATCCCTTCCGACTTCAGCCTGAATCCTTCAAGTTCGAAGTACACATGATCTCAAAGTTGAACATCATGGAAAGGAGAAGTTTACCTCATATAAGTGGTACAGGACTAGCCATATATATTGTAACGATTATAATGGCTCTGATCTCATCTATCGTTGTATCGCTTAGAATATACATCCAATGCTCTGAAATATCGTTCTGGTGGGATGATGGTTTGATGTTGGCCGCACTGGTTAGTATTTTTATATTTTAAAGATCTAGCATATTACTTGATCTTATTAACAAGATAGTTATAGATGATATATATTGCTAATATTGGACTTGCTTGTAGAAGCTTACAGTACGGCGTCGGCACCCCCAATGTGAATATTCCCATGTCCATGCAGGTCGAGGCTAGCAAATACATGACTATTTGGTCACTATTATACGAATCATGCCTTTTCATTGTCAAGGCTTCTATCTGCTTGACTATATTTCGGTTGAGAAAGCCCACGAGATACATCCGCTTCACGATCTATATTCTCCTCCTAGCGAGCTTTGCATCATTTCTCGATGGCGTCATAGGTCTCTTAACTCAATGTACCCCCGTTGAAGCTATTTGGGACAAGAGACTCATGAAAGATGGCAGGGGAACATGCAAAGATAAAGATACCATGATAGGCATCATATATACTACTGCGATTATAACGATCGCGACTGATGTGGCATGTACTGTTTTACCGGCAGTCATGATGTGGAACACTCAACTCAAGTTGAAAAAGCTACTAATTAGCTTGCTTCTGTTATTCGGGCTGCTTGCTTCTGTCTGCACGGTAATCCGGGTGTCTGATATTCAAAAGGTTACGAGCGACGGCAAATATTGTGAGTTGCATGACAACCCCTATTTACAGCTCGATTACTGTGCGGTTCTAATTTGTCGTAATGTATAGTCTGGACCTTGAGAACTGTGCTGTGGTCGAACATCGAAACGGCCATTGGTATCATCGCAGGGTCGATGCCAGTACTGCAGAAGATTGTTCTGAGCCATCCTATGAAACGAGAGTCGATCACATCATCTAAAGCTCCCGGCTCAGCGCCCTCCCATAGCGCACCCAGAAAGCCTCAAAGTAACCGAGAAGACTTCGGTAATCCGTTCGACGTCGGCTGCAATATCACAACAGTGTGCGCGAGTCGTCGTTCTCGTGATTGGGACCGCATGGAGAAGGGGGATAACTTGCCCTTTATTCGTGCCGAGTATACTTACGAAGTTACGCGATCAGATTTCTCCCCTGAGATGGTGGAAGTGTAAAACGCCATAGTAAAAAGTCGGACATGGTTTGGAATAGTTTATATTAACAGATGATTAAAAAGTATTTATACGAAGTTGTCTTTTCGGATCATCTTAATAGGAGGGTCGCAAACTATGATCTAGTTCCAGAAGGGATGGAACTGTGCCGAAATGACTGGTTCCGTGGTTTGTCTGCGCTCTGAAGTTCAATTTATTATATTTGATGTGATTAAATAACGTTACCAATTTTATTTTCCATTATTTCGTACTAACATCCACGTTTCCTATCCTATTGTAATTCGAATACGTCGATGTATCACTAGGATCGCCGAGCCATTCGTATTCGACAATGTTCACGTCGCTATCCTTCTGCCCTACTAGGCAATATATCCTCCGAGCGTGACTGGCAACAATTATCCCGCGGTCTTTGCAATCTGACAAATCGCCAACTTCTTGATCCACCGTAGTCCAATTATCTCCTTTGTAATATGTCAACTGGACTCCATCATCGGTAGTGGGGTCCATGGTCAAAACCTGGAAGCCCAGCGGTTCGGGCCAGTTGGTGCTCGTCTCGTTGAAGCCTGTCGAGAAGGCAGCAATCGCGGTTTTAGGTCCTATATCCCGCCCTAGGTAGTGCCCTACGTACCGACCATCTCCATTTACGATCTGAGATAGTGCACTAGTAATAGAGCGGTAGAAAATATTCATGCTCCTGTGGCCGTCTATTGTCGCAGCGGCTGCGTGTGCCTGGACAAGAGACGCGTTCTCGGCGGGCGCCGATATGTCAACCTGAATGACATTCGTGTTACTAGCCCATCCGCTGGTGTCATTCTGGTAGCTAGCTTCTCTTATTCCATCAGACGTCTGCCAGTAGAGATATGTGTATTGGTTGCATAATTCGCACTGCTTTCCGTACGAGACGAGAGACGATCCAGCGGTAGAAATATAACTATTTCCGGCTTTTGAATCTACCCAATTTGCAGTTGGGATGGTTGACTGTGTCGAGATGCCCTTGTCATTATTGTATGTTAGAGCCTTAATTGTAGCTAGACCGCCGCTGTCGGGAAGTTGCCAGTATATGTGTATATCGCGTCTCTAGAGTAAGTATTAGCAATTTGATTCGCTCAATATTCTTGTTATGTTTAATTCCTCACCGTATTATCGTACGCGAACACATCAAGTGACAATGAGGTTCCCTTCCTAACGCTATCTAAACCCAGATTATTCGTCTTGCCATCAACTACCGGTGATACCACCCAGCTTTTATGCGACGAGTTCCATGCTGACAAGTAAATGGCCTTATTATTTAATTGGTAAGCCACTAGATAGTTATCATTTCCAAACTCGTCTGTGAAGTTGGCGGTCGCGAGGTTGGTGTTAGCGAACAGAGCGGTCTCGTCGTTCTGCGAAGCCGCCGGATCCTGACTACTACTGCTCGAGTCTGAATTGGAATTGGAACTACTATCCCTTCTTGTTACAACACCAGCAACAACTCCTGCCACAATTGCTACAATAGCAATCACAGCTCCGATAACAACAGCCCAAAAAATCTTTCGCTTCATTCCACATATCCTGGGTTCTGGCGCATCTAGCGCTTTCTCCGTCTCCGGTATGAAAACTGGTTCTGGAAGGGTGCGGTCTATATCTCTTTTGGGAGCATCGCCAGCAACACCAACGACCTCGGGATAGTTAAAATGTTCGGTGGCATTCTGATTGACCTCCGGAAACTGTGCGGCGTGGGTCGTCTCGGCATATTGATTTCGGGTATGCGCTTCGGTGTCTACTTCTAACGTGCTATATTCGTAGTTATCCCTTGGGGAAGTCATGATTTTTTGGAAAGGCAGGCGGACTGGTCTGTCGGAGCCGTACAAGATACATTGACCATGTGACGTTGAATCGCGACTGATCAAAGTAAAAGGAGAAGACGAGGTAGGATCCAAGATGAAACTAGTGAATAGTATAAGTAAGCGGCTTGTCAGCCCTGCCGAGCACGGTCTCAACTTGACGCCTCTTCCACGAATAGAAGGTCGGGGAGATTATGGTCTGACCCTGTTGATGTTCCAAATAAGGCAAAAATCCTCGTGTGGATAGCAATTCCGCATTAGTGACATATCGGCTTCTGGGCGGTGCTAAGACTAGGTACTGGGGTGCTGGATACGCCAAGGATGATTCACTAGACCGCAGTCGAACTAGCCAAACATTTTAATAGGCTGATACCAAGGAAGGATTCTCAGGCTAGGAGCATTAATAACGCGTAGGGGGAAAAATCAGGCGTAATAATACTAGTATGATATTATTAACTTTTAGGAGCACCAAATCCCCCCCAGAGCGCTTATTAGAGATCGACAGTACCCTATCAATAACTGGGTATGAAACCATTTTGTGGCTGGAGTGCTGCTACGGACACAGCAGCTATCTGGGGCGAACTTGAGAACGGTCTGGATGACGGGTTAATAGACGCCGTGGTGGTATTATGGTGCCCGGGGGAAATGGTATAACAATACGGCTTACCTTCTCTTGGTACTGAATTAGAGACTCAACCTTTTGGCCGATAGATATATAGAATAGACTAACAATAGACTAACAAATATACAACTTATTAAATATAACTAGTTAGAAATTTAATAGTTACACGGCATTCAAGCTAGGCCGAATAATTACTTAAACTTTCGCCTAGAGGGACCTATGCGGCGGCACTAGTAACTACGCCACGAAGATACGACCAATTACGATTCAGTTGTATTCCTCATTGGGAAAGCTCAAATAACCTTAATTAGTGGTTCGGATCGATTCATATACATAAGAGTATACAAGAGATACATATGTCGGTAGTTAGTGGAGACTAATTGGACTTTGCTTGCATCAGATATTAACCTTTACGAGGTACGATCCCAGTATAACAACAGACTATGAGAGAGACTCTCACATCACGAAACTTCCACCTCAATCTCGACCCCATCGTTAGACTCGCTCACAACCGTGACTTTGATACCCCAACCTGGAACAGTATATGAACTTGTCCCTCTCAGGGATAGTGGTGCATCGTTCAACTTATCGCCTGCGCAACCACTCGATCCAGGGGTTGCATCTAACACCCGAACAGGGCCTTCTCCTGTCGCCGTCGTTGTTGAGACCATGTAAAGTAGTACGCCAGTTGAACAAGATGCCGAGTCGAGGCCGCCAGCTGAGCGTAATTCTGCCACCAATACGTCTGTGCTGCTGTGCTTGATGACCACGGCCTTAGAGCCTCCTGGATTCTCTAACGGAGTCAATGTGTGCGTCGTTGAGCCCGTTTCCGCGACGCAGTCAATTTGCCCATCAGATAACCATCCCAGCCGCCACTTATCCCACGCAAAATAATCAGGACTCGGTCCACTACGCGGGTTCGATCTTAGTTATAGGTACTGCTTTAATTAGGTATCTTTGCACAAATTCGACTCTTACCTAATAAGTCCCATCAAATCCCATCCTCCTATAAACAAGCCAGTTGCGCTTCCGTTGAAGGGGTAGTAATCGGGTAAACACATTGTGTGGCCCGTCTCGTGGTTCAAGACAAGGTACTTCCAAGTTTTATATGCGTCTAAGCCGAATGTCACCGACTTCTTAGCAACATATGCTCCGCCGCGAGTCATGACATCACCCATAAATGTAGGCGAAAAAGATATGGCGGCGGCGTTAGCAGTTGGGACGACGTACAGCACATCAGTAGGCGGGATGACCTTTCCATACGCATCTAACGCATCTTGTATGTACGTTTGATGCATTTCATAACTGAGGCCGCGCTGCCATCCGTAAGAATCTGCCTTAGCAGGCATCCGATAGAAACGCGACGTATCAGCAGTGACATTTAGCGTGAGCGCTCCGTATGACGACGTGGCATACCATTCTGCCGCTGCTGGTAAAAAGAAGTCGTACAGGCTCTGAGGGGTTTCGATGGCGGTTTGATCAGCAAAATCGACGAAGATCATGAATGCGCTCAGGGTACCAATGCTGGGAGCGCAGTTCAGCTCGTATCCGAATCCTGCACTGAGGTAAACATTGCTATTGGCGGCCAATTTGCACGCCGATATATCTGATCTAGAGTGAGGGCGAGTATCCTTTGCCGAAGCGAATGGTAAGATCAATGCTATTATCGTATACCATGCTGCCATCCTTAGCGTAGTTTCGAGCAGCCGAACAGCATTTACCATTGTACCTTAGATATAGTATTCTGGTACTCTGGTTATGAAGATCAAGAACCACATAGTTTGAATGAGCAGAGTGCTGTTTTATATAAAACAATTCGTTATCTAGAGTCGTTGATACGACTGTTACCTCCCCAGAATGGAATATGCGGGGGACACTGGTTTAAGTATAGCTCTTTGATTTCATGCCTGCAAGTCTTATCTAAAGGCATAAGAATATTTCTCAAGCGTGAAAATATGGGAGCGGTTGATGTTCCCTCGGTCGACATTTAGCCGAGTCATATGCCCATTCAAAACAATTAAGGTAAAAGATAGGATAGGCTAGTCTGCTTAGAATAAAATCAAATGATTAATACGTGTCTTGGACTCTTTAAGCAACATATAGGGGTTCGCTATGGCCTTAACCCATCACATCTATACCTTTTAAGCATTCTTCTAAAGTTTATGAGGTATCTTGATTTAGTAATTAATACCCGGCTTTTACCTATTATCAATTCACACTTGGTACGCAATTGTCTCTACGTCTTCATATCCTACCTAGTTATAAAATCAAAAAGCTGGTTGAAGAGATTCTTGTTATACTTTCTCTACACCTTCTTGCTCAGTAGGTACCTATTTAGACCCTACTAAGATCGATCGGTAATATCTATTTCGCCCTGAACTAAGCATCCCAGGGTAACTCTAGCGTATGCCTCGTGCCTCAAAGACCAGACTTGATAATATCCGCAGCCATTTCCGCAACTCCATACACCGCTGCCTGCGTACCTGCGTGAGGAACTATAGGGATAATGCTGGCGTCACAGACGCGCAGGTTCGAACAACCGTAAACACGTAATTCGGGACTAACAACACCACCCATATCCCGCGGCATCATTGAACAAGTACCAGTAAAGTGGATAGCTCCCACAGCGGTGTCACGAGCGTACCTGCGCGCATTATCCAGATCCTCAAGCGAGAACACCGGGTTGCGTTTACCATCTGATTTGATGTGGCTAGCCAGTGGCTCTGTAGAGACCAGTGACTCTACGAATCGTAGGTGATGTGCTAGAACCTCCAGATCGAGAGGGTGCGTAAGGTATTTAGGGTCGGTGACGGGAGATGCCGAACTGGATACAGATTCGATATGTACTGAGCCTCGCGAGAGTGGATGATCGAGGAGTAGGGCGATCGTGAAATAGTTTTCTTCGTCCTGAGATCGAGGCATAGATGCCCCTGATCCATCGGGGTTGGTTCTAGCAAAGCCATGTATCGAGAGATAAGTGCAAGAAGCCTCTGTTTGTGAAAGGAGCACAGAGCGCACGAATGATTCGTGCTTCTTCGTAAACGCCTCTGGTACCTTGCCCGTGTGAGTCTCTGAGCCTAGTGTCTCTAGGAATTTCGAGATAGTTTTTGCTCCGCTTCCAGTTTTGATACCAGGGAATGGAAGATATGCAGCATGATTAGGACCACTTCTAGACAAAGGCCCAGTGTGGTTAGAGTAGGCTTCGATAGCGGCCGCAAGGGCATCTGGGTCTCCCTGCGCAAGTTTGTCCACTGTCTCGAAGCCCTCTTCGTCTAGAACCTGGAAGTTAATATAACACATAGGATGATTTTGTAGGTTTTCGCCAACGCATGGGTTGTCGATAACAACATCGATGCCAAGTGACTCCAGCAAGGCTTTGTCGCCTACGCCCGAAAGCTCGAGTAGTTTAGGCGAATTGATGGCTCCAGCCGTAATCAATATTTCCTTTCGTGCGGTCACGGTCTGTAGTTTCCCTTCTTTAGTATACTGAATTCCAGTTGCGGTTACTTTGTCGCCTTTCTCAAAAATAATCTTTTCTACCAAGGTGCAGGACCACAGAGTTAGGTTCGGCCGATTTACTGCTGGCTCAAAGTATGCATTTCCAGAAAAGCTCCTTTGCTTCGTAGAACTGCATATGGAATCAGGAATTGTAACACCGCCGTATACTTGGTCAGAAAAGGGATCGTTGGCCGTCGGGAATCCAAGCGCACTTAGGGTGTCTCTCCAAACTTGTGGCCAGCCATTATCTTCATCAGGAAATGCTAATTGAAGCGGGCCACTCCCCTTTATCTCTTTAGATGGAAGAACCGCACTATATGCTCTCTTTAGAGCTTTGGAGAAGTTTGACCATTCCCATCCTGGGTTCCCTAAGTCCGCCCATGCATCAACATCTGCTTTGGACGTCTCGATAAACATAAGGCCATTCAGAGCACTTGATCCGCCAACAAGGCGTCCTTGAGGAAAGTTGATTTCACGGCCTCCAAGTCCCTCCTTATTTGAAATGTGAGATAGTGTACCGAAAAGTGCATGGGGTTAGCCACATACCTGAGGGGCCGTCTTGAAGTTCCACGATGTTCCAGAGCCAAGTAATTTCGGCCACATAGAAGGACTCTTTACCATAGGGTCGTCCCTCATATCTTCACCAGCCTCAATCACAAGTACACTGGTGTTCGGATCTTCAGAAAGATGCGCAGCAAGGACAAGGCCTGCCAGGCCTCCCCCAACAATAATATAGTCGTAGCTGTCAGAAGCCATTAGATGTATAATACTAGTACGATCGTGTTTTTCTGGACGAAGGGGGTAAGGTATTGCTAAAAGTGAAAGCGTTGAATAATACCTACTTATGTTAAATTTGAAATGATAACAGCTCGGCAGGGATTAGGGAGTGTAATGCTGGATCGGAGGTTCCGGAACCAAAGCAAAGAACCTCGGGTATGTAGTAGAAGCCGTGTAGCCAACCACTATTGCAGAAGATGATTACTTTATCACGAAGTGGAGCAAGAAACACGGAGACAACAAGGAATTTCAATCCCAACTATTGAAGCTTGAGCTATACATACTGAAGGTATCCCTTGTTCTCGACGTCTCATCTATAATCCTACCTAATATGCTTTGCAGATAGGGCGTATTTGACGATTCTTTGAGTTTTCGTCTATTGCGATGACCTAGAATTGATTAGGATATATTCTATTTATTCGTTACTAAGACTTTAACCTAAGTTGAGTAGACTTTGTAGAAGAAAGTCGTTTAACTTACACTAACATATTCACTAACAGAGGTAGGTACCTAGATACTAAGCCTATTGGTAAATTTAAACTACTTAGAATAAGAGAGGTGCCAAAGGCTTGGAATATCTGTCTACGTGATTCGAAATTTGCATACAAATACTCGTAAATGAAAGATCTCGTATGAGTTTTATGCGTACCTAGCCACCTAAGGCTTACACATTCTAAGGACTTGCAATATGATAGATATAGAGACGCAAGCTAGGCATATGGAAAAGAAATTAATGGGTTGGTTCAAATCGACGAGGGACTAATAAATTCAGCTTTACCCAATCCTGAGCATGGTTTATCAAGGCCATACGGCCAGATTCTTCCAGCGGAAGCTTATTCTATGATTACTAACAGTAAAGCAATTATTTACGCTGATTTCTGCTCCCTTAATAGCCAATTCAAATAACCAACCCATCTATTAACATGAATATCTAAAATACATCTCCTTTTGCCAAATATAGTATGTTAGATGTTAAGTATGCGATAGTAATAAAAATGATAAATGTTAAAAAATAATAGAAAAATATGTAATACTGTATGGAAATATGTACTTATTTCAAAACCCATAACTCTATGATGCATATTCGCTTAAAGTATTATGGGCCGTTCTTGGGCTCGTTCTCGGTAGGCTGGTCGTTCACGGAAGCCTCCTGGACGTCCTCTGAAGGTTTCGTCCCTGGCTGCTTTAAGGAAAGCCAGTCCATGAAAATGGGCCCAATGATGGACAGAGCGCTAACGGCAACAGCGACGTAAAATGTTTGCGTGAGGGCATCGTTGTACGCTTCTAATACGGCAGGCAACTGCTCGGGCGAGACAGTATCCCTCAGTGCGGTGGCACCACCCCTAATAACAGAAGCGGATCCGACTTCGGGGGCTCGGATAACTAGATTCTTGATCAGCTGGTTTTGAAAGATGTTCTGGGCCACAGCCAGGAAGATAGACGAAGATAGCGACTGCGTGAAGGTTAAAATCGAGATAGCCATAGGCATATCAGCCATAGGGACGGCAACCTGGGCAACGAGCATGACGTTCTGGGCGCCTAGACCCGCACCAGCCGCAACTATTATCTGGTACCCAAACCAATATCCGATGGTAGAATCAACCTTGAGAGTACTGAGAAGGCTAGCTCCAACCGCAGTGATGGCCGAAGAAGCAATGAGCAACGGTGTATACAAGCCCAACACGGTGGCAAGACCTCCACCAATAATGGAAAAGACAACGAGACCAAGGATGCTGGGTAAGTTATCAATGCCAGATTGAGTAGCTGAAACTCCCTTCACTGCCTGGAACCAGATCGGGAGGTAGTAGGAAAAGATGAAGAGAGCAGCGCCCATGCACACACCATACCACACAGCGCCGATGATATTCTTGTTCTTTAGGACTCGCAAGGGAACGGTGGCTCGGTCATTCTGCCAGAGTTCGACGATCCAGAAGATGATAGCAAGGACACCAAATACGACAAATAACGCGATAATTCGGCCATCGCTCCAAGAATATGTTGCACCACCCCATTGCAAGGCAAGGAGAAGGCAGATGACAGAAGGGATCAGGAAGAAGCTGCCGGGAAGATCGAACTGCTTAACCTGTTCCTTGAAGGGCAAACCGGGTTGCGCTGGTGGCTTGTCTGGTAAAAAGAGAATGAGGAACAGAATGGTAAGACCGCCAAGAGGAAGGTTAATGTAGAAACACCACCGCCATGTTACATGGTCGGTAAAAGCACCTCCCAAACTACCGCCAAAGTCAGAATGCGTGAACAAAATTTTTGCAAAAGAGTAAAGTTGCTAACATAGGACCAGCCACGCTGGCGATACCGTGCATACTCGACAAGAAACCGGTGTAAATGGGTCGCAGTCTCAGGGGTATATTAGTTGCCAAAATAATGATAGCCCCCGCAAAGATACCGGCGGCACCCAAACCAGAGACAGTTCGCCCAACGATCAGGACAGCTGAAGACGGAGAAACGGCGGCGATGAGGGAGCCAATCTCGAAAACGAAGACGGCCACCAAAAACACCCATTTCACGGAGTACATGACGTAAAATTTACCGAACATCAACTGTAGTGCGCAGACAGCGAATAGGTACGAACTCCCATACCAAGCAACATCATCTAGGGAGTTGAAATCGTTGGTGATTCGGGGGATGGCGGTGGCGAGAATGGTACTGTCCTAAGGAGAGTCAGGAGACTACGGCGTAAACACATACGCCTCCCAGCGATGACGACTTACCAAGGACACGACGAGCATGGCCATGCAAAGGGCGATTAACAGGAGGACCAATTTCCAGAAGGCAGGATACTGCTGGTCGGCATCGGCGGCAGCAGCATCGACGGTGGGTTCGCTATTTTCCACTTCTTGCTTTTCAACATCCTGCACTTCTTGAGGGCGCGATTGCACGGGGGCTTCTTGGCTGTTCATTTTTTTCTAGAATTGCAGAATCGTTGGCGATGGAATGTACCGACACCGCGGTAGCGGCAGAAGAAGCGGGCGTATCGTCTGGAGGTCGCATCGCGGGCAGTGATGTAGTAAAGCAAGAGAGTGTAAGTAGTCGAATTTCTACATGTCAGCTTGGTGTGATAGATTCAAAACCCAGAATCATAACTTTGGGCTGCTTCGACTTTTAAGAATATCTCATACGGGATCCACTACGGGACCCTTTACGGGACCCCTTACGGCATCACTCACGGCGTAGTGAGTCACGCCGGGGATCTGAGAAGATCGTTCAAACACGGGGCTGTGTGCCGTTCTCTTGTTGGAGGTCGATACGGCATAAAATGAAAGATGTTGGAATTCCAATGGCACGTCTTGTCGCGCAAACCCGATTGGCCAATAGAAAGTCTCCCTACTAAATTTACTCAAACTTACCCTGAAATGGTTACGGCCCGTGCCGCTAACCTGCAGCTAGTGCTCTCCTAATTTAAGCATACATTTGGAACTTTTCCAGGTACTTTAGGTACTTAAGTATTGAATTAAGGACCCTGCCGAGATTTACGACATTTGCATACACGATATACTCCATAGACAAAAATATGAGATTATTTTATTGTATATAATTCGTATATATTTGCTCTATTACTTAATGCCAGCCGTTCTTGGCCATCATTAGTGCGTAGTATAGCCAAGCAGACCCGGCCCCCGGAGGCCGAGGGCACCGGCAAACGGCGTTTGCGTAATAAGTAACGTAACATAAAAGGGGCAGTATATTAACCCAAATGAAGACCCTAATAACTAAACAAATTATAGACTACACTAGGTAGGAAAATAATAATTATGAGGATGTATCCTCCGCTTGCGAATTAAGAAAACGGGTTAGAAATATTATTTTAATGACATTGATAGTTAATGGTAAGTTGAAGAGAGGTAGCCTTACCAACGCCACACTGCATGTTCCCGAATGATAAGTGACACTGCATCTAGAACCAATGATATGAGGAATATGATGTTGCGAGTCCTAAACCCCGAGTGTCCGATAACTACCTAGGAGAGGGAATTGCCACGAAATATTCATCCCATTGTGATCTTAATACTAAGCAGTGGCGAACAAACTTTGACTATCAATATCTCAAGATGGCTATTAACCAATCTTTAAACACTATTATTCCAGTCATTGATATTTCTGGTTATCTGGCTGGTGATTTGCCTCGAACGGCCGAAATTGCAAACGAATTGAACGCCGCGTGTTGCGCCCCTGGATTTTTCCAGATCGTTGGCCACGATATCCCTCCCGAGTTGCGAACTCGTCTCTTCGACAAGGTTACCCAATTTTACGATCTTCCTATAACCAAGAAGTCGGCATTGAGTCGTAGTCTTTCGGTTAATGGCGCACGGGGTTACGAGGCCGTTGGGGCTGTGACATTAGAGGGTGACTTCGTAGATCAAAAAGAGGGATTCATGATAGGCCCTGAAAATCCGCCCGGAAGGTTCCTCCAAGGTCCGAACTTATGGCCAGAAGAAAGGGATTGTCCAGGATTTCGCTCCACGATGGAGGAGTATTTCGCCTCTGTGCGAAGCCTCAGCGTAAAGATGTTTCGACTACTAGCATTAAGCCTTCATCTCGACGAATACTGCTTTGATGCTTTTGTAAATAGTCGAGATTGTCAGAAATGAACCCGGCGTATTTGCTGTCTGATAAGTGCTAACCCCTTAACCATATCAGCGATCTCGATGTGCCGCGCACACAGATATCCTCGAGGTACGATTGAATCGGCAAAACACTTTCGAGGAACCGGTGCCCATACGGACTTCGGTGCCATGACATTACTACTACAGGACGATAGTAAGAGCTCTATCCTACATTTATTTCTTAGGTGCTAACAGTTTAGTTGGTGGCTTGGAAGTCTTCCACCGGCCCAGCAGCACATGGCACCCCGTACCGTACGTCCAAGACGCGTATATTGTCAACATCGGCGATATGATGGAACAATGGACGAATGGCCGATACATGTCTACTTTGCACCGCGTGATTACACCGATTTCGAACAAGGACAGATATAGTGTAGTGTTATTCAATGAAGGCTTGTTAGATCAAGTGATCGAATGCATTCCAACATGTATCGAACCCGGCGAGACTCCTCTATATGGCCCTACAACGGTAGAAGCACACTTGCGAAACCGATACGGGCATACCTATGAGGAAGCCGAAAGAAACTAGTAACAAGTATTGAACTAGAACGGCGGCTACGGTCTGACAACCCTGCCGTATTCGATTCATATTTACCTGGTACGGTCCTTGAAAAACAATACGTTTTGGCTCACAAGTTTGCAAGTTGAGCATTTGGGAATCTGTGAGACAGATCTTAGGTGTGTTTGGAGTCGGTACTGCATCTGGAGCTCTCCTTCAAGCAACCAGTTTTCGCCAAGGGGACAAAGCACTGATATAGACCTACATCCAGAGATTGGGTTTTCTGTTAATCGTCTGTTCTGTTAAAATCTCCGCTCGTAGTCTACTATCCTGCTCCGTTACCTTCCTCGGTCACTATATATTTCTAAGAATTTGATATATGATAGGTAATTATATCGATATTTCGGCTATCTGGAAGACGATGGAGAGGCCACCTACACCTAGGATATACACTTGAGCACCCATGCGGGTTGGATATGCGTATATACGGCACCTAATACGAGAAATACCATGACTACTCCCGTGGAATAAGCCGCACTGGTATATCCTCAGGCGGTGTGAGTGTAACGGGCGAATCACCACTACGAAGAAGAGCTGTCCTGAGTACGCGAGCAGCTTTAGTGACATCGTTGTCCGCGATCTCGAGCCTGTGGCGGCGGAGTAGTCGCGAGATAAGAGAAACATATTCGACACGCGCAAAGCTACGGCCGAGACATGCACGCGGACCCTCCCCAAACGTTAGAAAAGTGCCCTTTCGGTTCCCTGGAATGGCGGTGGTACCATTGCGGATCTCAGTTTCCTGTGCCGCTGTTAGCGGCTTGCATGGATCAAACGAGTGCGGATCTGCCACAAGCCATCGTCGGGGCTCGATGATCTCCGGGCTTGGCCACACGGAGGGATCGTAATGGATGGCGGGCGTGTTAGTGATGTAGCTCGTCTTTCCGGGAAGAGTGTAGCCTGATAATTGCTGGGGTTCAAAGGCGACCCGTGCCAATGTTGGCACGATTGGGAAAATACGCATCACCTCGTACTGCATATTGTTAACTAAGAGACCACTTAGACTGCGGCGAGAGAGATATACCATGAAGGCAACAAGATAGCGGAATCGTGGGAAGTCTTCGGCATGCGATAGATTTAAACGGCCTTCCTTTGCTGCTTGGGCATAGACGGTGTCGATCTCCTCGATCAAACGTTCTTGAAGTTCCTTGTGGGCAATCAACACGAGCATGGTAAACAAAGTCGTGTTTGCTGTTGTGTCATAACCTGTATTGCTTTAATATACTTATACCTTACAGACTTGATGGTACATACCAGCGATGAGGAAAATATAGGCATTGCCCCTAATCTCCTCGTTTGTTAAAGTGGAACGGCCGATCGACTCAATATGCTTCTTATCATTTTCGGCGGCCATATTCGAGCGTAAGATGGCAGTGATCAAGGTCTCGCGTTGCGCCTCGGTACTGTCTTCCAGTAGCTTCTCTTGTGCCTCGGCTACTAGTTCATCAATGTAGCTGTCGACCTCGTTGGCACACTGATATGCGATAGGCCATGGAGACCAACGCAGTAGCCAGCGCGGTAGAAGTAAGATATGAGGCAGATACATGGTAACGTTGGTCATGGCATCAACTAGTGAGTATTGGTGGGCCCCTGAAAGTTTACTGGGCTGGTTTTCGCTGTCCCCTTGGGCTTGGCGCCCGAAACCGACTAATAACATGGTATTCATGGTCAAGGAATAAATGCGCTCCTTGTTGCTGCTACCTGGCTTCCATGTCGCCATCGTCATATCGACCTGTCGCGAAGTCTCGTCCCACACCAGCTGCGCTACTGAATCTGCCCCCAGCGGTGGCAGCATGATGCCCAGGTGAAACTTCCAGAGGTCACCCTCAGCCATAGATATGTTGCGGCCAAATGGCGCGAGTATTTCTAGAATACCTAGGTTAGACCTCGGAGGCAAAAGAGAATAGAATATGAAGGATACTGAGTGGTGAGCCTTACTCATCTTTTCAGGAGGCTTGATAACTGCCTTCCGGCGCATAAATAGCTGCGAGACCATATCTGGATCACTAACGTAACATATTAATCTACTGGGCGTGACAAGTAAGAAACAATCCCCAAACTCGAGCGTTGCTCGCCTCCGGTCCTCATACTGCCAGTCAATAATCATAAAGCGTGCCCAACGTGGCCACCCCTCACCCTTGTGCAGATACTCTTTGTACCACCATCGTAGAAGCGTATTGGTGACCCAGGCAAAAGGATCGTGTTCGCTCACTAAGGACCATGTGTAAGGAAGTCTAGATCGCTGAGCTTCTCGAAGGTTATTGAGGAAGCGTATACATGCATGGACTATCAGGACCCCTATGGCAGTAATAGCGACGACCAAGTAAGCGGTAAGCATGGCGGGCCGCTTGGGAGCATTCCTATATTCAGTATTGTTAATGAATTACCTTAGTTAACCAACCAAGCCGGGCTCTCTTTAGCTATGACCTTTCAAACTAGATGCAGGTTAGGAAGAGGTTTCTTAAATTTTCATGTATTAGGTATGCTGAAGTTTTTTTCGTCACACCATATAATCACTATTCTCACTGACAGGTAGTCTGTACCTTAGCTGAACCACTAAACGAGCAGAAGGGGTGGTATGGTGGCGTTCGTGTGAGACCTGGAATGTGAGTAGTTACCGCCCAATACGACGAAACGTGTTAAAGCCGCAACTGGCTATATTAGATTAATTCGATAAGGATATAGCTTAATTAGTATCGCATACACCCCCAAGCTTCCATATTAGTCTTATTTAGACCTCGCATATTTATGTTTAAGGAAATATATCGACATAGCGTTGGAAGGTCGGGTGGTTATTACTATAGACTACCTAGAAAAGCTACCTAAGGTATAATGTATATGGATATAAATTTAGGCGAACATTGGTTGTATATTAAGTAGACTTAAATCGGGATAGAGGAAAATAATGGTTCTGCTAACTGTCATATACCGTTGTTTGAATTCCTCTAGGGATATTTAAGTACCTAAAGTATCTTGAATAGTATCTTGGTATACAACAGTACTTTATTTCTGTCATGTGAATATCCGGTATCAAAGACAACGGTTGGTTCATCGTTTGACTTTATTATTCTAGACCTTTAAGAAAATATCAGTTGGTGATTTTGCTTAAAATAGTTCCTTATTATCGATAGAACGCGTATAATTAAGTCCCTTCTGACTAGAAGAAGTAAGTGTAAGCCGATATTTTTATTATTGAGTAGCTCCGCACGCGAAACTGCTCGGGTCGCTAAGGAGATCTAATAGATACAGCTCTTATCATCATACGGCATCGGAGTATAGAAGCACGCAATCGCACTATCATTTCAAGGATATAGACCAGAGAGCTGGATTGATGTGACGGTGGGGGAGGGGAAGTACTACTAACCCCTATCCCGCGGAGCGTGCCCCACTTCCACCCGGGGAGAGAGCGACGGGGAGAATTCGATATTGCAACTTAATATCATGCTTGTTTTATTTTTATGATTTCTATCGATGATTTTGACCCCAAGCTTACAAGGCGCGGCTGATTCATCATGGAAGAACAGCAGACTAACACAGAAGACACATCGCCATCTACCGGCGGGCAGTCCCAGTCTTCACAAAGAGTAGACTCGAGTGCTCCTGAACGATCCCTTATCGTTCACTCCCAGACACATAACTCGGGGTTCTTTTCTAGGTTTCGATATCACTTGTTTGCAGCTGGATTTGCATTCCTGCTTGGTCCCCTCGCATTTATATGGCCAAGTCAATCCTCTATTGATCCGACAAACTACGTAGAGCGGACAAGGAGAGTCTTGAAGACAACGCCGTAGGTTCTGGCCTATTCCTAATTTGGAACTATTGCTGAATTATACCTTTACAACTATAGCTTAATTGATGGTCATAATGATTTACCCTGGCAATTGCGCATAGAGTTGCACAATCGCATATATGATGGCCGAGTTGACTTAAATAAAAGACTCCTGGGCCATACTGACCTTCAGAGAATGCGAACAGGAATGGTGGGGGGTCAGTTCTGGAGTGTGTATGTGCATTGTGATGTTCACCAGCAACACTTTGAAGATCCATCTGTAAGTTACATTTAAAATAATTGCAACTTGACACTTAGCTACTAGATGCTGAGACAGACGGACAGTGGATCGTAAGAGATACTCTGGAGCAAATTGATGTCACCAGAAGGTTCATCGACGAGCACCTCCAGGATCTCCAGTACTGTGATACGGCGGCCTGCGCTCGTAAAGCTTTCAAGTCAGGCCGCATCTCTAGCATGATCGGCATTGAAGGCGGCCACCAGGTTGGGGGCAGTATTGCTAGCATACGGCAGATGTACAATCTTGGAGCACGTTATATTACCCTCACTCATAACTGCGATAATTCGTTCGCGACTTCAGCTTCTACTGTGGCCGCTGGAGGATCCGACGATGGGCTCTCCAAATTAGGGCATGAGGCTATCAAGGAGATGAATCGGTTAGGCATGATGGTAGATCTATCGCATGTGTCTCACCAGACGATGAGAGATGTGCTGAGTGTAGCACGAGCACCAGTCATCTTTTCGCATTCAGGGGCTTACAGTGTAACTCCACATCTTCGGAACGTACCCGACGACGTTCTCCGAACGGTAAAGCGCAACGGAGGCATTGTCATGGCCGTATTCGTCAATCGTTTCCTCAAGATGAAAGACCCAGACCAGGCGACTATTCACGATGTTGTAGATCACATATTTCACATTGCGAAGGTATGCGGCTGGGACTGCATCGGTGTAGGCAGCGATTTTTCGGGAACCCCTTATGTACCCATCGGCCTGGAAGATGTATCAAAATTCCCCGATCTCGTTCAAATTCTAATGGAACGTGGCGCGACCGATGAGCAGATCCGCCTATTTGCAGGAGAGAATATTCTCCGCGTTTGGTCAAGGATCGAGCAGAGAGCGCGCGAGATACAAGCTACAGGGGAGAAGCCTGTAGAGGAAGAATATGAAGGGAGGGAGTGGCATAAAGGATTAAAAGACTCGCCTTGGATGTTGAGAGGGAGTAGACAAAAGGCTATCGAGGCTGGCGCCGCGGATAAGCCGTACATGTTCAACGTAGATGGAGAGGGGAAGCATAATCCAGCAGTCAAGGGTGTATAGACCACCCAAGGTAAATAGATCAAGGGTAATATTGGAAAATATTAGAAAGTGATATTTACTTACCTGTCGATATGGTAAATGTATGTGTGAACTACGATACCACCCTACGTCTACATGCAGCGCACCTCAAATTTAGACGACGTCTCTCTCACGTGGTATACGCATCGCTTATTTTCCCATCTACCTCCAATCCCTTCAGTCGGGTTTATGATTCTTGTAATCGTCATCGTTCTCCACAATGGCGTTATTTGGCTAGCTGGGGGTTATAGACTATCGCAGCTGCGTAGGACTACAAGCACGGCATGCTAGACCCATCTGCCTGGATACCCCATTCCTTGCCGACGTTGGTTTCTGCTCGGCAGGGGTGAGCCGAAGATGGTACCATATTTCGTACGCACATGCCTCGAGCTTATGTCCGTCGTGAACTTGAGGGGCTAGTTGATTAAAAGAGATTCGAGATATGGAGTTTCACCTAATTCTAGAGTGACTATACCGGAGGAATAATGGCATGATACGAAGATTGAGGATGTCGTGATTGTGGAGTTGTACTGCGCAAGTCCTGCTCTAAGATAGACGAAGAGAAATGACAACCTACCTAGGTAACATATCTAACTCCTATAGTCTTGACAAGATACTACCCTTAGGAGGGGTACATCTGTAAGTTATCATGCCCACCTTATTCATCTCGCAAGTCTGGATTAGATGTAATAGTATTCTATCAACTTCACTCACGGGGTATACTTGACTACACCATCGGCTTCATCCCTTTTCAAGATGCCACTCTTAGAAATATTGCCTCTCTATATTGTTAAATCTCTCCAATATATTATCTCCTTACCAATCATAGGACTAGTTATTTACCTCATTCAAAATGAAATCATTCGATATCGCAGTAGGATAAAGAATCTCCCCGGGCCTCGCGGATGGCCCATCGTTGGGAATCTTTTCCAAGTACATAAAATACTTTATCATCCTCGTAACCTGTGTCTGACTAACAACATAGTAGCATTCCGATGTAATACCTGCGGAAACATACCGAAGATGGTCTTTCAAGTACGGTCCGGTATTCCAGATCCAGCTCGGCAACACTACCGCAGTTGTTATCAACTCCGCGCGGGCAGCTAAGCAATTGTTCCTCGGGCAGAGCCATGCGATGAACTCGCGGCCGACATTTTATGTGTTCCACAAGAAAGTTAGTAAGGCCGTGACGAGCATTGGGACCAGCCCTTGGGACGAGAGTTGTAAGCGGAGGAGAAAGTTGGCTGCAGGGGCAATGAATAGGACCCGCGTGGATACATACGGGCCGCTCCTGGACCTAGAGGCGCGCGAGTTCCTCAAGGACCTATATTCGGCATGCCGGGATGGTACTGTTGAGATCGACTTCCGGCCCGCCGTGAAGCGCTTCTCGCTAAACTTGAGCCTGACACTGAATTATGGGACGCGTGTGTCGAGCGTCAAATCTCTAACCGACGACCCGCTCCTATCTGAGATCATCTACGTCGAAGGCGAGATCTCCAAGCTCCGCGACACTGGCAAGAACTACGCCAACTACATCCCTTTACTGCGGTATTGGGAGCCCCTGGCGCAGTTTCTAGGGCTTGATGCGCAGCCAAAAAACCACGCGGCGGATATCGGACGTCGCCGATTAGAGTATAATGATATCCTCTTGGAAAAGCTGAAGGATGAAGTGCAGAGGGGTGAAGATAAGCCGTGCATTCAGGGGGCCGTGCTCAGAGATCCGGAATCTGCGACAGTAACGAGGGAAGAGCTGATTAGCGTTAGCTTGAGCATGATGGCGGTATGTCCTCTATCATCTTATATTTTAACTACCCTAAAGCAGTAACTTATACTTTGATATCAAATAGGGGGCTGACTCGAACCAACCTACCCTCTCATGGGCCTGCTTGCTTCTCGCGCACCGACCAGACATACAAGAAAAGGCTTATTCCGCAATCAGAGATGCAGGGGTCCTCAGCTTACCATCAAACGCATATGCTTCTACGAAAGTCGAGTACATCGACGCCTTAACGAAGGAAATCTCACGATACTTCGTAGTATTGAAGCTAGCCCTCCCCAAGGCCACTTACACCGATGTGACTTGGGAGCGTGCCACGATTCCGGCTAATACAATGGTTTTCCTAAACTCCTGGGCTTGTAATCGAGGTACGTCTTAAATCTTCTCCCCACGACATAAACTTGACTGTCCGCTTGAAACTAAGTTCCCCCATTCCAGATCCGGAACTCTTCACTGAACCAGAAACGTTTATCCCCGAGCGCTGGCTGCAAAATTCTTCTGAAGTACACGCCCACCAATTCGCATTTGGAATCGGCGGGCGGATGTGCGTCGCATCGCATTTGGCTCACAATGCTTTATATACGGTGTTCTTGCATCTAATTGCGCATTTCCGTATCCTGCCAGCTGAAGGAGAAACAATAGAGGCAATTGATCCGATTAAGGGGTTAAAAGGCATGGCCTTTGTCGGTACCCCACGCGGGTGGCGCGCTAGATTTATCCCAAGGGGAGGAGAAAAGCTTGCAACTTGGTTAGAAAGTCCCGATGGTTCATGATAGGAAATGGCGAGCCGTGGCTATAAGATTGGCAGCCAATTGGAAAGTTGTACTTTATTTAGAACATTTAGGGATGTGGATGAAGACTCGGAAATTACGCCCAAGTTACTGTATATCAATCTTCATATTGCAAGTGACTTAGCACATGCCCCTTTTCAGGCAATAGTAACAGCTGTATCATCAAGACATTCTAAAACATTTTAATAGGCAGCAGGTACAACGCCTAACCGTCCTCCATCCGTCACCAGCACGTTTCCATTGATGTAGGCGCCAGCCTTGCTCACCAAGAACAGGATCGCGCCAGCAATGTCTTCCTGATCACCAAGTCTCTGCTCAGGAACAACACTCTTGGGCCACTCCTGAGTTGGTCGGTTTTGGAGCAGAGGCTCGGTCATTTCGCTTGGGTAGACTGTCGTATAACTTGTGTTAGCAACCTAAGAAGGTATTAGCTACCTATGAAAGGGACAGCTTACATCCTGGAGCGATGACATTGGATCGAATGCCATATGGCACAAGAGCGGTTGCCAACTGCTTCATCATATGGACCACTCCGGCCTTAGAGCTTCCGTAAGCGTATCCAGCAGCAGGGATTCTGTTGTATGCACCAATGCTGGACGTGGCTATAACCTGGCTCTTCTGCTTCAGATTTCCACGCTTGTTGCCCTCGTCAAGAAGCTCTAGGAATGCAGCGACGGTGAAAAACACGCCTGTAGAGTTTACAGCATATGTGTTATTGAATTCAGCCGTGTCCCAGCCGAAGACGAAGTTGCGGAAGTCCGAAATGCTGGGGTTTTGCGGCAATGCGCCCATAGTAGGGCCTGGTACACCAGAATTTGCTACCACAACATTGACATATCCTACTGCTGACTTGATCTCGGCGACGGCCCGTTCAAGGTCGGCCTTGTTAGACACATCGCCTTGGATTATGCGAATGTTTCCATGTTTCTATACCAACGCAAGTAATAGGTAGGAAAGTTAATAATGCATCTGGGAGCTGTAATGTTTGATGAGGCAACGTACAGCAGTGGCAGCAGCTTTCTCTAAGGTCTCCTTGCGGCGGCCAATAACGTAGACAATCGCACCGTTGCTCTCAAGGGCATTTACCATCATGAGACCAATACCTATATTTTATGTTCAGTTAATTCACTTATAGATAAGCGGGCACGAGCCAACCTACCGCTTCCCCCGCCCGTTACAACGACGACCAATCCTTTGACTCCGAAGAGATCATTGGGTTCTACTGAGGGAGAGGCCATTGTTTTAGATAATATTCAATATTCTTAATTTTGGTGTTTGAAAAGTGTAGTATTAATTATGAAGTGGCTCTTGTAATTGTTGTTGAACGTGAGATATTTGAAGGTAAACAACGGAAGGAGAGCTGAAAAGACGAGGACATTACTGGGAGGTAGGTACCTACCTAATCTAAACCCTAGTGTCGTCTGGCCCATATATATAGGATTTCTCACTGCAGGTGCTTACCTACATTGACGTACATAGGTACATGTATTTTGTTGTTACTTACCTGAGAAGGAGTCTAATCATCCCTCCTTTCCATTAATCATTTTGTAGTTAGCACCAAATCGAAATCGGAATCTTAGATGTAATAACTTTAACGTGTTCTGCTACGATTTCAGTTATTCTTCACTTATACCCCGCAGCATCGTGTCAATGCCTGGACATCCGTTGCGGGCAGAATGCAACGCCAGATCAGGATAGGAACCCGGCCTACGATACGACTTAATGCCAACAGCCATGGACTGACATGGACTACCCGGGACCCATTCAAGATGGCACATTGCAAAGATCCGGCTATTTACGTTCATAAAACTCTTTTCGCGAACTCCTAGCTGAGCTGTGATGAATCATCCACTGATGCATCATGTTTCGCTTCAGTAGTGAGCTTCTCATCGTCGCCTTCGCTTGGCTCTTCTGCTATGTCGCATGTCAAAGCGACAATCTAGGCCTCAAGAATGGTTATATCACCATTAAAACTGCCAATTTCAATGCTAAGGTTGTTCGCGATGCGCAAGTACTCGCGTCGCTGAGTCCGGTAGGAAATTCATTTGACTTTCTGCCCTTTGACTTAATTTCGGCTCGGGCTGGAAATGGCCAATATCATTGGGGTGATATTACATACCGTTATCGCGAAGATAATGATGGTCCGTGGATCGACGGCGACTCTGCCGCTTCCCGGAAGGCCGTCACCACCCGCAAGGCCGGGACAGGAGTCCTAGCTTCTTCAGGTCTGGCACCGACACTTCCCGGCGGGGGACCTTTAAATGTGACTCGTGAATGGCTCGATGTCTCCGGTGACCTGGGTCTACGTTTCACAATCGAGAACTCGGGAGCGTCTCCCGTTGAGATAGGCAGTTTGGGGTTTCCCGCTGAGTTCAACAGCATTTTTACAAATCGTGCCGCAGGCGATACGCAGCGTCTGTGTTCACTATCTGACCCATATGTCGGCTTGCACGCGGGTTACATCCGCGTCAGCCCTGTTCGCGGAACCGGCGCCGCGCTTGTCGTGACACCACTTGGGGATACTCCGTTGGAAGCATACCGTAATCTGGCCGAACCTTCTTATCAGGCTACAGCCTACGGAAGCCAGACCTTCGAGGGATTCTATGAGTGGCAAGTCCTTAGCCGCGCATGGGCCGAGAAAGAATGGGCAGGTGTGCAATCGTGGAATGCGCCTTCGTCAAAAATCCTCCAACCTGGCCAAACAGTACAGTTTGGAGTACGCTTTTCCGTGGCTAAAGGTGGCATCCGTGACATTGATGAAACTGTGCGAAAAACCGGCACCCCCGTAGCTTATGGTGTTCCTGGGTACATCATCCCAAGAGGATCAACGTCGCAACTTTTCCTGGACGCCGAGTCGAATCCGATATCTTTTTCCAGCGAACCCGTAGAGTCCTTGGCCTTCAGCCAGCTCTCATCGGGCTCATACGGTATAACTCCGTCCCCAACCTTTTGGGGCCGCTCAAGGCTCACTATCGACTACGAGGATGGAAAGACCCAAACGATACATTACTACGTCACTAAGTCTGGCACAGATTCCATCAGAGATCTAGGACGGTTCCTTACAACTAAGCAGTGGTTTAATGACACATCCGACCCTTTTGGTCGTGCTCCTTCGGTTATGAGTTATGACTACGAGGCTAGTTCTATCGTAACTCAAGACTCGCGAGTCTGGATCGCCGGACTCAGTGACGAAGGAGGCGTAGGCGCATACCTCGCTGCGATGGTGAAGCAGGTTATCCAGCCGGACCCTGAGGAGGTATCAAAGCTCGAGATGTTCATTGACAAGGTTCTCTGGGGCACTATCCAGACGAAGGATTTCGGTGTCCGGAAGAGCATATTCTACTACGAGCCTTCAGTCGTTCCAAAATACACCTACAATTCCGCTTTTGATTGGTCTAGCTGGACGTCATGGAACAAGGACGCGGCCTATGCAATCGATCGGGCCTACGACTACGTTCATGTTGCAGCAGCCTATTGGTCGTTATACCTCGTGGCACGGGCCTACCCCGAGATAGTAAAGAGCCATGATTGGAAATGGTATATCAACCAGGCTTATAGCACCGTCATACGCGGGATGCAGTCCGACGTTGTATATAATCAGCTTGGACTAATGGGTGAGACAGTATTCGGGGAGATCCTTACCGATCTTACTCGGGAAGGGCTAACTACGCAGGTTAACACGCTCATCAAAGCCATGAGATCAAGGGCTGCACAATGGGATTCTGAAGAAGTTCCTTACGGAAGCGAGATGGCCTGGGACTCCACCGGCCAAGAAGGAGTTTACTACTGGACCAAGTGAGCAATTTCTCTCTATACTTAACTACTTAACCTAAGATCACACTAATAAAAGTTACCAGATATTTTGGCTTCTCAAACACAGCAACAAAAACAGTAAATAGCGTTCTGGGTTATATGCCTACGATTCCCCACTGGGGATGGAACGGGAATGCCCGCAGATACTGGGATAATATCTACGGTGGCAAACTCAAGCGCATCGAGCGGCAAATCCACCATTACGGATCAGGCCTCAACTCTCTAGTTCTACTCTCGGCCTTCCGCACCAATCCCTCAGATACGTACCTCCTTCAGGTCGGCTACGGTGGCGCCAGTGGACCCCTATCCAACATCAACGAAGCTGGATTCGCGTCTGCGTCCTTCCACTCCTGGCCCGATACCTTGAAGTGGGACGGTTACAGCGGAGACTACGGCCCCGGGTTTCTGGGGTTGGTTCTCGGCTCCGGCACGTACGTCGCGCAGCACGCCAGCTTTGGACTCCTTGCGTATGGCGGTGTGCTGGAAAGCACCGATAACAAAGTCAACGTGCAGACTAACGGCCCTGTGACCCGACGTGTCTTCATTGGGCCACTGGGTGTGACGATCAATGCGGATGCGGGCAGTATAAGCAGTTTCAGCTACGAAAGCTCCTCGGGTGCTATTTCCGTCGTACTAACGCAGCTTTCCGGTGCACCAAAGGCGGCGGCGGCGGTTCTGTGGATCGACAAGAGTGGAGACTCGGCCTCTTACCGCATATCGAGCCCCGAGGCGACTAGTGAGCGATCGGGATGGCGGATCCCGCTGACAGCTAATGGTGATGTGATTGTTGAGTTGACGAGGAGCTAGGTGAGTATATACTATGTATTTGATATATAGGTACCTGGTAAATACAATATACTTTGATCTCTTTAATCTGACCGTTGAAGAAAAATTTCAGATGATTTTTAAGACCCTGTTAAAGAGTTAGTAACGCTATTCAGATATAATGGAGTTACTTTATTGTAGTGTAAGAAGAATGTTAGGGCGATGCCCTTATTACGTTGCTATAAAGACGTGATTTTAGCTGCGTTGTAAAATGGGGGGTATGCATTTTTCAACAGACAGGTTGGTGATTCTCGGGCTTACCATTCCAATACTATACTACGATTATCACATATGCGATCGAGACAGTCCAAATACGATTATATGTACTCAGTTCGATACACGGATCGATTCATCCACGTCTATTAACAACGCCATTTTTGCGTCTAACGTACAGTGGTATCAGTCAGCCGTGCTCGCCCATTTTATTCACTCATTTATTCCTCTGCACCCTCCGGCCCCGGGCCTTGTCGCCCCATCTGGCGCGCCTTGAGCATTTCATCGCAAAGTAGGAGATTAGACGCGATACTTGATGAAGAGGCTACGCAGTTCCTCAGTACTCTGAATGAATCGTAGACACCCTCCAAAGTAGGGTCCATGGGCTGGCCAAGCACTAGATCCAATCCGACAACGTTGCCATCTGCGTGCTCGTCTTGGAGCGAAGCAACTATGGCAGGGTTAGTATAGGTAAACTTAATTATGAATGGTAAGTGTAATACATACGTGCATCTTGAATATCGTGGCCCGCATTCGCAGCGAGCGTCTTGGGGATGATTAAGAGCGCATCTGCGAACGCGTCAACACCCCACTTGGCCTTGCCCTTAACCGTCTTCTTGAAGGCGTCGCTCTTCAGGTGAGCGGCACAAGCGACCTGGTAAGCACCGCCACCGGGAACGACGCTCTTGTCCACGATCATATTGTACACGCTTCGCAGGCCATCTCGAACCGCGTCCGTAATCTGTGTGATGGTGTGGGCGTTCGGGCCCTTGATCATCAGCGTTACGGATTTGGGATCCTTCACTTCCTCAATGAAAGTGTATTTCTCCTCGCCCAGCTGCTGTTCATACACCAAGCCAGCCCAGCCGAGCACGTCAGGGGACAAATCCTCCACACTGTTCTGCGCGACACCGCCGCAGATAAGCTGTAATCTCTCCATGTTCCTCCTCTTGGCTCTTCGCAGAGCCAAAATGCCGTTTTTGGCTAGCACATCTAATGAAAGCGGGTCGATACCCTTCTGGTTCACGATGACGAAGCTCTTCTTGGGGTCGTTCCCGCAAACCTCCTTCTTCAAGTCCACAATCTTCTTGAGCTTAGCATCGACGAATCGGCGTTCGCTCTCGACCAGTTTGTCGCGCTGTTCCGCGCTAGAATAGAAGAAACTCGAGTTGATTTCCGACTTCTCGTACTCCAAGCTGACGTTCATGGTCAGGATGAACGCATTTTCCAGTCTCTTAGGCATATCAGGATGTCTGGCACCGTGGTCCAAGACTAAACCGCGGATGAGTTGGGTATCTGAAGCGGTACGGTGCTGCATCTTCATGATTTCCACCATATGTAGATCCGGCTTCGCAGGTGCTTCGTAAATGGCGAGGACGGCGTCAACGATATCGGGGGTCAGCTTCTTAGCAAGGCTCGCGTTGAGTTTGGTAGATAGAGACGTCCGAGCGACGGAGAGGAGGAGTTCCCTGTCAACCTCTTTCGGGAGCTTAAAGGAGTCCAAAAACTATGACGACAATTAAGTATACGGATTGTGCAAAATGAATATGGCAGCATACCTTCAATGCCTCATTCTTCGCGATCTCGAAGCCCTCTGTTATGATTCGAGGGTGTAAGCCTTCGGCGATATATCTGTCTGCTTGCTTTAGAAGCTCTCCCACCAACAAGACTACTGATGTCGTTCCATCTCCGCAAATATCATCTTGCGCTGTCGCGGCTCGAGCAATCATAACTGCGGTCGGATTCTGTATTTGCATTTCTCTCAATAGGACGTTTCCATCCTTTGTCAGTTTGATCTATTCGGTAAAGGTCAGCTTGGTGTCGTATATTTTATATGGCGTCAAGACAGCTCGTACCTGTCCAGAACCATCGACAAGCCTGTCATAACACGTTAGCAGCTACTTTTTTAAATCAAGTAAGAATTATACATACATCTTAATGGTTCCTAGAGGACCTAAGTTGGACTTCAGAACATCTTGTAGACCTTCGCCCGCGCTGATGTTGACTCGAAGAGCTTCACCCCGCCGCTTGCCTAGAAGTCAATATAACTGTTTCGTACGTATGTAAGAATGTTGTTTGATAAAACGTACCCGAGATTCGGCCTTGGGATTTAGGAGCTGAGCGGCAGACATTATAACCCGACGTAATGGAACTTGCTGTATAAAAGTGCCGTGTTCAGGTAGAAATTTGTGGTTATCGTCGTCGAGGGGCACACAGCGTTATTGGGAGATGAGAGATGGGAGCTTGAAGCGGGTCAAGAAAGCACCGACAACTTTTTTTTCTTGTACGAAGTACGGAATAGCCTTATTTCTTAGTACAAGGTACATGCGCACGCCCAATATGAAATAATCCGTTTTATGACAGCCTTGCCCCACGTGGTACATAGATACGTATGGTACCCATATGTATATAGGTGGGGTAAGATACCAGCCGTTGTAGCTGAGACCCCACCTGTCATGACCCCTTTCCAAGTATCATAATACGCGATATCATTCTATCCGTTTCAGCTTCAATTCTCTTACAAGGGAAGGGGACTTTTAATATAAATTCATCATTGGACTACCTGATTTAACACAACGCATAGCAAAGATCACCATTAAACATTAACCCTCGAGGAAATCACCGCATCTCCAATCTCCAATCTGAGGCCACGGTCAACGGTATTTATTCGGCCTCGGTCCAATCCCCTGGGCCCTCAACCCTCTTAACCGTCCCGCGTACGTAGAAGTCGGTGTCACTCAGCTTCGGTGCCAAGCAGGTAATCTTAGGTATACTGAGTCTTACGGCCATCATAGATATTGTATGCCAGAACCATACCTCAACGGTTAGAAACGACCTCCAATCCATCATAACCCCTTCTATTGTCCCAGTGATTTGGCCGATCTAGAATTTGCTCTGGGACCGGTGTAGGCGTTCTGTCGAAAACAATAACCGGTCGGATCTCGGGCATCTTAGCAATTAGTTTGCGTATGATATCGTGCTCTCTGTTCAATGCTCGTCGTCGGCCCTTGTAGCCGAATACGACGTCGGTAAACAGTTCCGACTCGAATTGTTCTTTCTTAGGTACTCTCAATTGTGAGAAAAGCCACTGCTCTTCAAACAAGAACTTCAGGTCGCGATTCCATTCGCCGTGGAGGTGTTTCAGCAAACACGAGGGGCGTCTATGAGCTATGTGGCGTAGTAAATCCATCCTGTCTCTATAACCCCCGCGGACGGCATCGAATACAGGACGTAGAATCGCAGGGAGCCTTTTATCATCTAATCCCACGACGCCAACATGGCCTTCCTCACCGTAGGCATCGTGCTCTTTATCCCAGCTGACACCTCTGCACTTGATAGTCAACATCGCGAGATCGATGGAACGAACACCATCGAAGTATCCTGACTGTATAGCCCACTTAAAGGCTTTACTTGGCAGCCTGCCGCGATACTGGTCTTCAACTGTTTCAAGAACGTTGAGGATCACGGTAGCGCCACCCATACACTTTCTCCATCCATGCCATCCTTTGAAGATATGAATACTTGGGATGTAAATTGAATCTCGCCTGGGGTCAAACCATTCGCAGTGGATTGGCTGGTCAAACCCACAGAAGCGCAAACCTATGCCCCACTTCGAGGCAATCATCTTAGATTCGCGACAAACTAAAGATAGTTCTGGAATGCCGAACGAAGGATAACGGCCGGAGTGATCCTTCAAATAATCAATCTTTGAGTGGAGGTAGATAACTTTGCCTTGTGGCACTACAATAACAAAAGTTAGTAATAATTTAATTTAATAATGGTTTAAGAGATTTCATATGCGCATGGGATAAAGGGGGACACTAAAGAAGAAAATATCGGTAAACATAAAAGATGAAAGGGAAAGTTAAACTCTCAATGTTAGGTATTACATACTATCCAATTCCCAAATTTCTGCGCGGATTTCATAAGGGAGAAAGGGGAAGAGATGGAAGGATTTGTGTATTTTTTGTTCCTTCGCCTCTACACGTCTCTTTTCTATAACCCATTGGGGAGTTATCACTGGTGTGAGGTTTGTAAGTTCCAGCTGCTGTTCAAGGGGATTGAAGAGATGGGCGCTTTCAGGGGGAAAGTCGCGTTTGCTGGAATATGTTCCATCAGCATTCTTTTGGGGCCTATTGCCAATGATTACAACCCTTGGCCTTTTGTTTAGACGCATCTTATGTGAAGGGTGCATCCTATACGGTAGAAACAATATCGGTTAGCTGACGGCATAGTTTCTCTCGTGTTTTGTTCACAACCATTTCAAGCCTAACAATGTACCATTTACGAGACTTACTTGTTAAAGACAGGAAAATGGAAAACAATATTGTAAGTAATAGAAGGTGCTGATAAAAATAGACGCGTGAGAGAATTAGTTAAACCGAAATCAGTAATAGAAACCGCTGTATAGGTTTCTGAAAGGCCCTAATGACAACTGTTTAAGGTGGATGAATGATTGACAAAAGGTTGGCGCCGGTCAAATAAAGATGAGGGCTGTTGGAAGATTTTGACTTGCTGATATAGAGATAAATAGTGTGCGTGGGTGAACGCAGCACCCAGCACCCAGCAGAGTTTTTGCCTAACGTGTCTAGACTTAGAGGGTCCGAGTATTAAACAGTAAATCACAAAGATAGGAAGGTGAAGATTAGTAGTAGATCAGCTTTGCTCTCAACCAAACTATTTATTGGGGGGGGGGGGGGGGGGGGGTGGTTGGGGGTTTGTGTTGGGGGGTTGTTGGGGTGTTGGTTGGTTTGAGTTTTGATGTTTTTTTTTTTTTTGAGTAAA